TAAATTGCACTGTAATTAAAAAAATGTGTAGCTAGTCCCTACCAGGCTACCATGTGTTATTATTAAAATATAATTTAAATTGTATACAAAATCTAAATTTAATTTTTATAAAATCTTCGACATAGGTACCTACAGCTTACTATATAAAATAACAAACAAAAGCGTAACACTGTGATACCAGTGCATAAAATATTATTAATAAATAAAAAATAAAATCACAAATCTTGACATAAGTTTCAAGTACTGGCAAATATTTTTAATTATAACAAAAGAAATAAAATCATTAATCTTCGTTTAATCATATTATTTCATTTAAATTTGAACTTAAAATGCCTAATAGCTATGGCAACTATTTTTATATATTTTTAAAATAGTTACAATAAGAGGTAGTCATGAGAATCCTCGTTTTATTTATTTCAAACTACAAAATAATTTGCAAATATTCGAGATTTTGATGAATTTTGTCAAAAATTGAACTTAAATACTTATAAAAATGTCAGGCATTCAATGTATCTTCAATATTTCTCAACTACTATTAAAACAACTTATAAGAAACATTGTATTAAATTTTCGAGTATTTCGACCAAATGATAAAAATTTTAATGACATTACAATGGAAAAAAACCATACAATTTAAAATTGTAAATGATTACAAACAAAAAAATAATAATATGTAAAATATAGAGTTGAAATATTTTGAAAATTTTTTCATGCAAGTGCAAAAAATTATAAAATAAACATTTTGTGAAAATTTCAAGTACAACAAAATAATAAAATCATTAAATGATAATTTGTTGAATTACAGGTGAATATTCAATGTCTAACTTCAAACCCTCATAAAAATGTATTCTACTTTAGAGTAAACGTTTTTTTTTGTTAAATGTCGGAAAACTTATGGGGAATCTTATATTAGGTACATTTTGCAAACTTAGAAACAATCAAAATTCCAACTTCTGACGCTCATAAAAATGTATTGTGGATCTACGATCAACTTTTATTTTAATTTCTATTAACAACCACTTATAAAAAGCCTTATATTAAAAAGTTTTTGGACGAAGTGAATTTTTTTTCATTGACAATAATTAAAAAATAACTAATAACAATTTAAAGTTTCTTTGGTCTATAAAATAATAGCTCAGAAAGTGTCTTAAATATTTCGAAAACTTTATGGTAATATATCAGAATCGTTTTTCTTATACAATGATATTATATCATTGAATGCAAATTTAATACCATCCATTTTACAGTGACCCACTTGTAATCGACTGTACAGCAGAGCACATTTTTTTTTCTATAAATATCAATAAAATTTTATTTGTTGGTTAAAAAAGCTTGAAAATTTAATAGAAGGCTCCTAGTATATTGTTTAAAAGGCAGATGAAAAAAATTAAAAATCCATTGCCACAATTATTTTTATAAGCGTTTAAAGTTCAAATATTGACAAAATACATAAAAATGACGAAAATTTGCAAATTATTTTAAGTAGAAATTCATAGACATTTTTCTTTTTAAATCTAAGATTTTAAAATGTAATAGAAGATTATTCATAAGTTTGTCTATCTTTATAAAAAAAAAAAATATCTTCAAGCAAATCAAATTAAATTTAATGAGCGTTTGAATTTCATATTTTGATAATTGTGATATGATTAATTTGGAATTTATCATAGGTACCTAATATAGGTCAAATTGTTTTAATACCATAGATAAGTACCTATATAATATGTCTTATACCTAGACTGATGCTGTAAATCATGAACTAAGATAATTAACTATCTTAGTTCATGGTTTTGATATTATAGTGAATTGACTCAAACTATATATTTAATCAAACTTTTAGGTAACAACTTTATCTATGTTCTTTTTCTTGTTTTTGAAGATATTTTAATTCTTAATGCCCCCACAGAATAGACATCACCGCGTACTGCGTAGTAGTTAAATTTTCGATTAGTTAACTCCAAACGAATTCAACAGGTTTATGTGTCAGAGTTACCCTGAGGTTAGTTTACGATTGGCACATAAATTGGCCTTTTCCAGAAGTCTGTTAGTGATGACATTTATTTATCACTGATAACATTGATAAACCTGATAGATTACTGTTCGTTTTTTAAATGCATTAATTGTTTATTGTGTTTTGTAATTTGTTCACTGATATTTGCACGTATTAATTTATAATTTGTGAAATTTGTATTCACCGACAAGAAAATAACAAAGAAAGGCATGACATTTTTTGATGTACAAAGACCAGCTTCTGGCATTGAAGATAAAAATCTTACAGAGGAGGTTCAACCTCAGCGTAATAAAAACAAGGAACGTTATTTTGAAAAAAGAAAAATTTAAGTTAAATATAGAAATTGTAGAGAAAATTGCAAGTGTAGTAGAGAAATGTATATTCACTCCATATTTGACAATTTTTTTCGACGCTAATTTAAAAAACTAATGCAATTCAAAAATGTCTTTTACCTATAAATAGCTCAAAATAAGTAAAAATATTTTGAAAAAGGTATGGTGAATGGAAAATGCAAATATAAACATTCACTTAAACATCCATTTATTAGTTTATCTACCTGGTATACATTTTTGATCTTCTAAATTAATTATTAGTAATGCAGGTACTCTGTCTTATCTCACTAGCAGACAGGAGAGTTAACGCGAACATAGAGTTTCTGAATAAACTGATGGATAGTCTTATTGATGCTCCCTTACTTCTTTCGTCGGTCAACATCTAAGTTCTTTCCCGTATTACTGGACATCACGTTCCTTTCATAGTTTCTGTGAACACTACACATTATAGGAGAAATAGTCCTTTACACTGCATGACAAAGTTATCCAAAGAGAGCACCATATATCAAGACTTGGTAACATTAGGTGTTAATACTTTAATAATCTAAATACTAAAATAACTAAATACTTGTATAATTATTGTTATTATTATCTTGTTTAAACCTATGTGTGTTATTTGTATTAATTATTTAAATTGTAAATTGCATAATGTGAAACTGTTGTATAGGGCTCTGTTAATAAATAAATATAAATATTAGTTATATCAGATTCTGGTAATTTCTCTTCATAATATAATATATTATAATATGTCATTTGGAAAAGCTTATGGAGTGTTATTTTGGGTCAGCTGTATATTGCACAATTCCTCCTGATTTAATTAAAAATATTTATTCATAAATTAATAAATTAATATAATATATATAAACATTATATATATAATATATGAATATTAATAAAAATATTCAGCATTGTTACCCAGTACTTCAATTATGGTTGAAATTCCATCGTGGTAGATATCTAAAACTCTTAAAGTTATTGCGAGCTCTAAATCTTTTATATTTTTCCATAAATGACTTAAATTACATGGATATATATATATATTATAATTTGGTTGTGTTTGGTGTAACAACCAGATAAGTTCATGAAAACTTGAACTTTATAAATGATTCTAGAAAAATGACTTAAACCTAAAACTTAAAAATAATATTATATTGATATTGATCAACACTTTAACTTCAAAATGGTTTTGAAATTTTTTTTAATATCTCTATTTTAAATGTACCAAACTTGTTTTAAGCTTCTCCGAGGGAAAATTTTCAAAATGTGACTTATTGGGTTATTACACTGAACCTTTCATACTACTCTACTCAACTACTATACTAAACAAACGGCATGGTGTCATTTTAAAACAATCATAAGATCTAATTGTGAGAAGTATTCAATTAGAACAACTTAAACCTCTATATAAACAACAATATTATGTTATCATGAAACATTTAATTTTTTACGTATTACAATTTTAGTCCATAACAACTTTAAGGAATACATAACAAATTAGTATAAAACATACGTTATAACTTAATATGAAATTACAAAAATATAAAACTGTTGTTGAACAGTTAGTTAAAAATGTATGGCACTAGTTACTAAGATTAACTTAGAATTAAATGGACAGATAATTTTTAATCTAAATATAAAATGTATACATGAATTACCTTATAAATTTGTTTTTTTTATAACATTTTCAATAATTTTTTAAATCATACTAACAAACATCAATTATTTCTCACAGTATAACTAATAATTATTACTGAAATTCGTAGATTTTAAATTAAATACTTGAGCTTCTTGTGTTTATAAGTTGTATTATACATATAATATCCAATATCAATTGCATATCAAATTCAAAGTAAAATCTATGATTAATTATTTATTACAGTACCATAATAATTGTACAACTGACCAAGTAACAAATAGATTTTAAAAAGCCATTTTTAAAAATAAAAATCAACTACTCTCATGCATACTATACTTAGGGTGCATAGTGTCAATGTAATTTTGTACACAAAAATACGCTCAACGGAAATAATGATCCTATTCTATAAAATCAACCAAATTTGATATATTTTTAATAAAACTTATTGAGGGTAATACAGGCCACATCAGTCAGTTTTTCAATATATTAATCTCAAACTTTATAATATGTCTTCAAAAATAGTACAAATTTAAGTGTTTTTTACAAATTATGTTATATCATTAATTGAAATAAAATAAAAAAATTGGAGTTTGATTGCAGCCTGTAGGAAGTGTCGTTCTTTTAGATAAAAAAATAGTTATCAAAATCCGACAATTCTACAAGGCCTGAGAGTTATTCATTAGTGGAAAAGTATTATAATTAAGGTGGCAACTAAAATATAAAATTTAATTCTCAAAGTTTATAGAATTGCGGAAAATTTGGAAAACCGGCACTGGACCTTAATATTTGGTATCCAAAACAAATACGAAGTGTTTTCTATAAAGTGAATCAGATATTTGAAGAATATCAACGAGTCTACATTGAAGAAGTTATCATTGTACATATTCATTAAGAGGGACGTTGTTCTAGGGCTAAAATTAAGGACTAATTAAGAATTTTTTATATGGCAGCTTCAGTTTCAAATAAAAATTAATGAAAACATGTAAATGCTGTTACTGGTGAGTTGAAAATAAAATTTGAACATTTATATGACAGTGTGAGACATTCGTTTTATGTCATCTGCACCATAGTTGTAATTGTCTCTTCGAGTAGCCATTTTTTTACGTTTAAACATGTGTACCCGACACTCTATTCCATACAATACTCCACTGATAAAAAGGGCAATAGTTCCTGCAACTGCTACTCCGTAGCTCCATCCTATATCATTGTGTTCCCAATTTGGCAACCATACTCTACTGTCTCCATATAATCCAAATATCATCAGAGCAATAGTACTGCATATAGCTGAAAATAATAAATTTTATCAAATTATTAGGTATGTTATACATTATAAGACAACATAGCATAGTGATTTACCTGCAGCTAAGTGAAGTATTGCCGCTCTAAGTAGAATCTGAACATAACGTTCATGAGCTCTATTTAGATACATATAAAGCATAGAGTAGAATAAACCAAACACAGTGAAGAGAACACAAGTTGAAAAAAAAAACTGAGTGGCAATATAAAAACCTAAGAAAAAAAATTGTATTAATTAAAAATCTGAAATCAAAGTATAAAAAATTATTTATTAAGATGATGTCAGCACACTATTTGTTTCCTCTCTCTGACCCACGCGCAACATAGGAAATTTTACGTTCACAATAAAAATTATTATCATAATAGTTTCTAAAGTTAGAGTGAAATGACCGCTTATAAAATTTAAAGGTAAGGTTATTATCCAGGACATCTCATTATGTTATAATTTTAAAGTGAGTTTTAAATATTTTAAGATTCACAAATAATTTACAATTTTAAAATACTCATAACTCGCTTTGAAATTAAAACATAATAAAAAGTCTATAAGATGCCCTGGATAATAATATTACCTTTGAATTTTATAAGAGGTAATTTTACTCTAATTTTAGAAATTATTATGATTATAATTTATAATCATTATTGTGTATATAACATTTGGTATTTTGAGCGTGGGTAAAAGAGAGAAAACAAATAGTGGGCTGACATTCTCTTAAGAATGAAAAGTTAAAAAAAACACAGTCATAAACAAACCTTTGAATAAAATATCATCGATAATATAATATTCTTCTTCAAACACCCACCAACAACTATGGAATCTTGTGTCATACCAATGACGAGGGTCTTCAAAATCTTTAAAACATACTACCCATAAACCTGTGGATGTGAAAATAGTTTATCAAATTGTAATTTAAACTATTTATAACCTAACCTAATTTCATTAACTTTTGATCATAGTTAGATAAAATAATAACTTAACATTATTAATTTTAGAAACATAAAACTATTATTATTCAACAATATTTTATAAAAATGTAGTTTTATTAATCCTGATAAAAAAGAACAGACAACTTTGGATAGTATTATTATCCAAATGCATAATAAACCAGGAAATCAACTTGAGGATTATTTTAAATAATATTATATTTACCTATATCTTATTATCAACTGGAAAATTTTTTTTGATATTTTTGATACTTTATATTATTATTAGATATTTTTGATGTGTAAATCAATTCATTAAGTATCGAGGGAATGAAAATTATGATAATTAAGAAGACGCAACACCTATGTGTATTGTCCCCGTCTTACAAGTGCGTAACATTGCAAATTTACACTCAGCAGATCACGTTTAGCTTCATTAGTTTAAAAATTAGAGTGAATATTATGAAACTTGTTGGAAACATCATTATCTGTATATGTTGGTTTTCTACGATAATTAACATTTTTAGCAAATACATATTACAAAATAGCGTAAATTAAAAATGCTCTGGCTCACTTATAGTGTGAATAATTGTAAAAACCAACATACGAACACAAATAATAATCTTACCATCAAGTTTTCTAATAGGTAGGTTGATTCACTCTAATTTTTAAACTAACGGAGCTACACGTGATCTGCTGAGAGTACATTTGCTAGTGTTACACACTTGTAAGACGGAGACAACACATGCGGATGTGGAGTCCTCTTAAACATGGTTAGTAGGTACTACATATCCAAACAAGAAAACACAACATTTAGTTCAAGAGACAATAATGTGATTAAAATACAAAGTACAGAATCGTACAGAGCACAGTTATCTATTTGGATAACTGTATTTCCTAAGCAATTGAAACTTGCTCAACGTATAAAAATGTTGTTGCATAAAACTTGAGCGCGCGCGCTATACTAACCGATCCTATCGAATTTCGGGTGCTTCAATCGCCCATCCGTGACCAACCAGCTCTTCGTCACGAACGCCAACAAGGCTAAAAACGCTCCCAAAAGAGACAGGCCAACGGCCGTCAGACCGTTTCTGGACTTCGCCATAGAAATCACTGGTGTGGTTAGGTGACCTTTAAGACGTGCACTGAAGATTCGAGTCTTGAAAAAAAGACAACAACTCAAAATAATTAAATCAAATTTAATAAAGTGTTTATGCAACCCAGCATAAGACTCAAACTATAAACAATGAATTTGCAAAGCGGCGTGGACTAAAAAGCGCCACGTCATAGGTATTATCATTTACTAGGTCTACGCTAGAGACAGTTTCTTTCACAGGTTTCTTTGTGCCTCTATCAGACCTCTTATCAGCACTTTACTTATCAATATCATAATATTATCACGGAAAATATTTCTGCGCTCGTCCAAGGTGACGACTGTCGTAGGTGTTAGAAATGGGTTTAATTAAATTAGGTTCGCTCCGAAGAAAGGATTTTAAGAATGTCATGCAAAAAAACTAAATAAGATATTTATGTCGCTACAATTATTCATTGTAGAATATAATGATTGGAAAGTAAAAGAAGAATTGGCCACTTCGACACGTTGGTCAGTAGTTACTAGTTAGTATAAGGTCTATGGGATAATGCGCCAAATTCTAATTGAAACCAACAATCATAGCGTTTTCGATTTGTCGCCTTCTGTGAGTGCAAAAACGTATTCATATTTGACATTTGACCAATATTCAGTCGTGTACAACAACTACTGGTGCGTTGTTTAAGATGAACTGCCCTCGACAGCTGGTAGATCTCGGTGACTAACTGACGTAATAGGATCTAATTGACGGTGGGTTAAAAAGACCACAAGGTATATTTTGTATTTTAATTAGCAATTATTACTAATAATTATGTTTATTATTTTTATTCATAAACTAAGTCTTTATGTATTGTACGTACTTATTGTATCGCATAGTAACTAAACTATTTTGTTTCATACCAATCAACGGTTGTGATCAAAGTACCTACCTATACAATATTTTACTATAGAAATATAGACATTTTAACATTTAGAAACGCAAACTGACGCATCGACGATAAATTATTCATGTTTCATATTGTGCCAGATGTCTATGAGATATGAAAAATAATTTATTTTATGTATTTATTATTTAATAGACAATGTAATTTAACAATAGGTACTATAATACTTTGATTGCTATTATAACCTATAATCTATAACGTCCTTACTCCTAATAATATAATATAATATTAATATATTCTAGGTACCTATCATTCTTCTATTGATATATATTATATTAGACAAACAATTTTAAATACTATTATATTATTTGTCAAGTTGATGTATCTAATATATATATTTATATATACACTACTAACTGCACTAGCCGTAGCCATTTTCCTCCAAAAATATAATAAATAGCTCTTGACCATTTTTCTCTACTTTCCATTTTCCTCCAACAAATAATAAATAAATAATAAAATAGTTAATATAAATAATTTATGAATAACAAAAATAAAAAATGAATTATAGGTAATATTATATATTTTTTTAAATTATAAGACACTTCAGCAATAAATGAATAAATAATAGAAAAGAAAAGAAAAAATAGACATAATATGAATAATTATTTTACTTTTTGTAATTACATACCTAGAAATATCTCTGTTTTGCAATTTAATAATTGCATTGTCAATTACTCCACAACGGTTGTTTGCTCAGTAGTCTTTCCAGGCTTGGAAGTAAGTCACTTTTGAAAAATTGAGTCACTTTAAGTCACTTATTTAGAAAATAAGTCACCTATGTCACTTATTAAGAAAATAAGTCACTTATGTCACTTATTTTCAAAATGTATCTAAATTTAAATTTGAACTGCATATGGCGACCAACTTCATATTTGAATGTACAGTTACATGAGTGAATCGCGGAAAAAAAAGTCCCACACTAGGAAAAAAGTCCCGATAAAAATGAATGAAAATGTATCAAAACTGAAGGATAAATATATTAAAATTGTATTGAAAAATACATTTAAGTTACATAAAAAATTATATAATATCATAAAAAATGTTAATTACTTACTTAAATCACATATTAAAATATAATAAAATTTAATTTAATACAAGTCCAAAATAATAAAATGTAATACAATAATCAATAATAAATATAATTATTAATTATAGTACCTATATAATTATAATAAAGATGCTATAAAATAATAAAAATGTAATATTATAATTAAGTACACCTCTTTTTTGTGTTATGACTTACGGCTGTTAAAAAGGCCTTTTTATAGGCAGGTACATATAACATATTATTATACCAAAAACTTTTTTTTTATCTAATTTTCCTAATCAAACCAAAAATTATAAGTATTTATAGTAATTTTGTATATATTTATTAGTCTACTATTTTTGAAAAACTACCCAAGATGAATTCCTATTATAACAAACCATAGGTGTGTTTTTTACTCATGATTAGAATAAAGGAAGTTCCTAAACGATGATCTTGAATATTATTCTATATTATAAACATTATTAATTGAAATAGGTAATATTATGATTTAATTATTTGATATTAAAATTTGTACAGTACAAAATATGTACCTACAATAACCATGGCTATTATTTTAATTTATAACCCTTGTTTATAAATTATAATTGTAAAATCATCGTCATCAGTTGTATATTCATCAACATAAGATAATCTTAAGATCATACAATGTTTTTTTCTTTTATGATTACTTGCCTCCCCAAAAAAGGTAAACTTTACAGTTCACTTGCTCCCCATTTTGGGGACGCAACTCAACTATATTATTATTCTTACCTGTCATTAAAGTCGTTACTTAGTTGCGTCCATAAATATTATGAGCTACATAAATATTGTTCATATTATGTTGCATGTGTAAATTGCCCATGTGAGCACAATGTTCATCTACTGTACAACGAACAACGAACGCATGTGAAGCCTTTCATTCCAAATTGAATTCATCCTTTTACTATAATAGCCACCAAATATACATCAATTTATAAATGTTTTAAAATTATATCAAATTAATACTTATGTGTTAATTAATAGCATAAATACACCTAAACAAGAATAATATATAGAAAAAAAAAAACAAAAAATTTACTATTTAAATAAAGAAATAAAAAAATTCAGAAAAAAAACAAATTCTGCTTTTATATAATATTTAAAAAACATTTCATTCAAATTTCAAATAACATTGTTTTAATTCAGTTATTAATAATTTTCATGCACATAGGTACACTTTAAGCTTTATTTTAAAACATTTTTTAGATCACTCTTTTTATGTTGTAGTTAAAAATGCATATAATTAATTTGATTATAGTTTTAATGGACAATTGAAGATTTGATAGTATAATATTTTTTTATCTATGGATAATTATATTAACATGTTTTATACATAATCTATAAATAGTTAGTATAATTTTATTTTTCTAAATGTAATGTGATAATGTTATGTAATATAATAAAATGTAGTGGAATCATATGCAGTTAATCTACTCTGTTACTAATAGTTTGCAATAGATTATGGACTCAAATATGCTATGACCTTTTTTGAACCATTTTAATTAAACCAATGCAACTTAATTGATAATTTATTTTGGACGAAAGTAGTATGCACCGCTGTATAGTGTAGACTGGAGCCCTGTAGGTCTGTAGACCCTAATCTGTGCCATAGTATAAGTAATAATTATTCCTTATGGCTTATACTATGGTAGTATGGACTATACCAAGGGTCCGCAACCTTTTGAGACGAAAAAGCCAAAAGATAACATTTACAAAATTTACAAATTTTAGTTTCAATTTTATAGTATAAAATATAATAATTACTAAAATTACTATATTGACTATAATAATTTATCTGTGAAATATCGTCTTCATTTTTTTTGATATCATAATGCGAAAGAAAAAAGTTGTTATTAATTAAAAAACCATTATTTTTGTGTTTTCAAAACTTAAATTACTTTTTTTATAGTTCCGACATCGAAAAACTAAAAACAATATTTCACAGTCGAAATTATTAATTATTTACATATTTAGTATAATAACTAGTACCTATGTTATGATTTTATAATATAACTTTTTTAAAAAGAATTTTAATTTTAAGAAAAATTATAATAAAGGTATAATTTATTTTATTTAGCATGTAATTTTTAATAGTGTAAGCTGTTTTATAATTGTTATAATTGTTGTTAAATCTCTTCAGTATTATAATAGTATGTATAGTGTTGGTATGTCCTTATGATAATAACATCTTAAGTAAAATATCAGTATCTTCAGGTAGGTATAAGATAATATACAGAATGTATATGTATATGTCTGTATATGTCCAAATCCAATATTCCAAAGTTTTAAAACAATTTGGAGGAAATCTGTAATATTGAATAAAATTTTTTTTAAATATATTTATTATTGAGGTAATAAAATTTATACTTTACATTACTAATTCCCGAAGTAAATGTTGATGACAACTTCTCCTTGTCCGTCTTGGATTTTTTTTGTTCAATATTTGGTTCTAAGTTTGATAAGTTAAGCCCGCTTAGTTTGCCTAAATTTTTACAAATATTTAAAAAAAATTTGTTAGTTGAAACTTTATATCATACTGAATTATTCAAACTTATTGCACCTGCAGATTTTTTCATTGATTTGTTTCCCAAATCTATCTCCGAGTTCTCTGCCAAAATCGACCTACACACATAAAAGTGCATTAAGATTTAAAGATTACGTTATTCAATTACTATTAGTTATTACTATACTATTTTTATATTTAAATACCTAAATATAGTTGAAATAACACTAGATTCATTTTCATAAATTATTTTGTTAAATACATTTGATAATTCATCAACTTGAGATGCTAACAGGTTCAATTTATTTGATAAAACCTGAAATGCAAACTATATTTAATATTTTCATAAAATCTAAAAATACTTGTGTTTTATATTACTTTAAATTTAACTTTTGGATCATCTGGCAATTTATGAATAATAATTACCACAAGTTCTACATTGCAATAGAAGTGTTTGCATTCAGCATTATAGGATAATTTGGTATTCTATAATTAATAA